CCTATTGTCTAATACACAGCCCCCTGTAATCCACCTATGGGGCCTCAACCCCTGTCAAGGAAATCAAAGAATCCACCACGTATTCATGGCTGGAGAGAGCGTTATACAGCTTCGCCATCGGGTGCTCCTGCATGTCAGTTGTATGCTCACTCCTGCTGTGAATAAATGGAGGATTCTTTATGTTCCCGTATGGGGGTTGGGGGTGGCAGCCCCCCATGTTTAGTGACTGATTCTGCATATGTTATTCATATTATTTCCACGCAATAAGTTTTATATACTTAGTAGAGAGTGAGAGGAATCCATTGATAGCAAAATCATCACTATCCATTAGGCGGAACTATCCATAAAATTACCACAAGTTGTTCTGTGGTATTGTTTTCCTAATATATGTAGTCTGTCAATCACCTTCATATAATTCATTTTGTGTGGTTTGGTGTCATATTGATGTTACACCTGTAATAAAACTGAATATAACAAAGAATTATTTATCATAAAATGAAGATATAAACACATCACAATGAGGATAATTACAGCTATCATGTCAAAAGAAGGATCTTAGTTTTTTTTCCCCTCTCTCTCTCTCTCTGGCAATAACTTATGTACATGAACTTGATATCTGTGACTGTATCACAAGACAAGCTAAAAGAACAGTCTTGCTGCCAATCTACTAGTAGTAGGTCTGCTAGTTTGATGTTACCAAGAAATTATTTGTCTGGGCTTGATCTTACTGTAAGGTAGCATAGTGGATAACTGTTGAACAAGAGAGCAACAATCTCTGTTATCCAGATTAGAATGTTAGTTGTGTCAGATATTATGTCCTTTATATTTGTGTAAATTTGTTTAGGCTGTCTTGCCAGAATGAACTAAGTTCTTGTTCTATTGACAAAATGATATGTGTGTGGTTCTCCTCCAACTCCTCCTCTAACTCCTCCTCCTCCTACTATTACTCCAACTCCTCCCTCCTCCTCTCCTCCTCTTCTCTTCTCTTCTCTTCTTCTTCCTTCTTCTCTTCTTCTTCTTCTTCTTCTTCTTCTTCTTCTTCTTCTTCTTTCTTCTTCTTCTTCTTCTTCTTCTTCTTCTTCTTCTTCTTCTTCTTCTTCTTCTTCCTCCTCCTCCTTCCTCTTCCTCTTCTTCTTCTTCTTCTTCTTCTTCTTCTTCTTCTTCTTCTTCTTCTTCTTCTTCTTCTTCTTCTTCTTCTTCTTCTTCTTCTTCTTCTTCCTCCTCCTCCTCCTTCTCCTCCTCCTCCTCCTCCTCCTCCTCCCTCCTCCTCCTCCTCCTCCTCCTCCTCCTCCTCCTCCTTCCTCCTCCTCCTCCTCCTCCTCCTTCCTCCTCCTTCCTCCTCCTCCTCCTCCTCCTCCTCCTCCTCCTCCTCCTCCTCCTCCTCCTCCCTCCTCCAACCTCTTCCTCCTTTCCTCCTCTTCCTCTTCCTCTTCCTCTCTTCTCCTCCTCCTCCTCCTCTCCTCTTCCTTTCTCTTCCTCCTCCTCCTCCTCCTCCTCCTCCTCCTCCTCCTCCTCCTCCTCCTCCCTCCTCCTCCTTCTCCTCCCTCCTCCTCCTCTTCTTGCTGCTCCTTTTCCTTCTCCTCATCCTTCAACTCCTCCTCCTTCTTTTCTGCCTCTTACTCCACCACTGCCTCCTCCTCTTCCTCTTCCTCTTCCCACCTTCTCCTCCTCCTCCTTCCTCCTCCTCCTCCTCCTCCTCCTCCTCCTCCTCCTCCTCCTCCTCCTCCCTCCCTCCTCCTCCTCCTTTTCTGCCTCCTACTCCACACTGCCTTTCCTCTTCCTCCTCCTCCTCCTCCTCCCTCCTCCTCCTCCTCTTATTGCTACTGCTCATCCTTCTCCTTCTCTTCTTCCTTCAGTTCCTCCAGCACCTCCTCTTCCTCTTCTGGCTTCTCGTCTAGTTCCTCCTCCTCCTCCTCCTCTTCCTCCTCCTCTTCCTCCTCCTTTCCTCTTCCTCCTTCTCCTCCTCCTCCTCCTCCTCCTCCTCGTCCTCCTCTTAGTTCTGCTCCTTTTAGTCTTCCTCCTTCTTTGCCTAATAATTATATATTTTGTCTCTTGTTCCAGATGCCGGAGACAATGCACTTTTCACAGGCCTTCAGGCTGGCCTGGTTACTGCGCTGCCTCAGGAAAGTGTGGAGTGGCGACGCTCCTATGGGCGTCCTTCCCGGTGTGTCCATGTAGAAGTGGACTTTGTTCCTTTTGCCGAGGAATGCCTTGTGAAGGATGTCACAAGGACGATTCTTGGCCAGCCTATCTTCCACACCTACTGGACTGATTGTGCTGATGTTGAAGCTTACAAGAGCAGTACGAGGGACAACCTGCAGGCATGGGTGACATCGCTGAGGCAACAGGGGATTACAGATTGGATGGTGGTGTTGCTGGAGACACCAGACACACGCAAAGGAAATAAATTGATCCCTCGAACCACAGTCCTAGACAAGATTAAGAATGACTTTGGTGGAAAACAAGCTGAAAGATGTGTGTCTCTGATTGACCCTTTGAAGACGGATTCAAGATCTGTGGAATCCTGGCAGACTCTGCTCACAAAGATGAGGCATTTGCTAATGGTGGCATACAATAGGGCTCTCAATAAGTTTGAAGAGAACATGAGAGCAGAACGTGAACGACGAACAGAAAAATCTTGGTCATTCTGCTCATATTTTCTTTTGCAAGAAGAATTAGCACAAGTTTTCCAGTTGCTAGCATTACATGATGAAGCCTTAGTGCAGTATGATGAGTTAGATGCACTCTTTACACAGTTTGTGCTGAATTCTGCTGCAGGAGATACTCCACACTGGTTAAGCAATTTCAGCCAACCATGTGAGAAGTGGGAGGGTTTGCACCTCACTCCAGATCTAGATGCTGTCATTCAGGGGAAGATTCGTTCCAAGGATGTTACCCTACTAGAGTTTCGCAACTACCTCTTTCAACGTCAGTGTGCTCTGCTCTTCCTCCAGAACAAGCCTTGGGAGGTAGCCAGCCGTGCCCTGACTTTCCTCCAAAATACTCTGGGAGAACTCAGCATCCTGGAAGTTACAGTTGCTCCTGGAGGCATTGCCTGCTGGGGTGTCCTCTCCTGTTTGGAAGTTATAGATTCTCTACAAACCTTCAAGGAGCCATCTACTACAGATGCACATGCTCACCACACTGCCCCACTATGGGCCTATGCCAGAGATAAGTTACAGGAGTTAGGGAGCCTATGTGGGCTGATGCCAGGATGCGAGACCAGTAGCTCCCAGCTCCACACTGTGATCTCACTAGTGTGTGGGATGGGCAATGACCCTCATGCACATGACTACCACCAGGAGGATGAACCTGTCCATGACACGCCCATGACAAGGCTCAAAGATGCTCTCTCTTCACCACAGGCATACAAAAAGCATTACCTTGACTTATCTGAAGTGGCCATCAGCACCTACAAGCACATTGGTCGAATCAGGTCTGCAAGGCTCATTGGCAAAGAGCTGGCCACGTTCTACATGGCACAGGGAGAGGCACAGAAAGCTGCAACTTTCTTAACAGACCAACTAACCATGTTTTTAGAAGAGAGATGGTTGCTCTTGGCTGCTCACACACAGCTCCACTTGTTCCCCCCACACAATGACCTTGAGTGTTGTGTGCACAGTTAGCTGGCTCCACCCACTTGGGACAGGAAATGAGGGAGGAACATTTTGAGAAGATGAAGACTGCCTTAAAGGATGTTGAAGATGGATCATCTCTCCTGATACCCTGTGATAGAATATTTGAGGTGGAGGGCCTTCGACTGGTCTCAGAGGACCGCATCATACTGGAATCAGATGTTCTGGTAGAGCTTTCCATCACAAGTAAACTTCCAAATACAGTTATGTGCAGCCAGGTATATGTTGTGTTACAGCATGTTAAAGAAGAAGCTAGCACACTCAAGACCATTCCCGAATTAGAAAGGAAATCAAGTTCATCAAGCTCAGCATCACAGCCAAGCACGCGCAAATCACAATCCTCATCTATGGTGCACAGGAGCAGCTCAAACTCGGCTGAAGTAGAGCGAAAGAGCCTGGCGAATGAGGCAGCTGCAGCAGAGACAGAAATGGCTAGGCTGAATCCACTCACACAACCTCTCCATATGAGCCTCCATCTGGAGTACAAGCAAGACAAGTCTCTTTCATCTGCCTCCATAACTTGTGTTAATTCTCACAAAGTACTCAGAAGAAGAGACAGTCAAGGTGGAATGTATAAGGTAGACCGTAGTGTTGCTAAGGAACAACACAAAGACAAGCTTGTGGCCAAAGATGTAGTTATTGCCCCTGGGAAAAATACTATCACATTGTCCACGAAAGTGACCAGTAAGGGCTGCTACACTGCCAGTCAAGTGGTTTTAGCATTAGAAAAGCTTGAATTTATCTGTGGCAAGAATCACATTGCAGGCCCTCCATTGAGCCTAGAGGTTGTAAGTGAGAATCCTCGTATTTTCCTGGGTCGCAGGGATCGTGATCTTTTGGCAGGACTGCATCAGCCAATGGTCCTCACAGTGCACAGTGGAAGCTGGCACATCAAGCAGGTATGTGTGGTGTAGTGTTAGTTGGAGATATTCTCAGTCATATGACCATTGCCATATTTTATATTTTTATTATTTCAGTTTACTAGAAATAATGGTTGACAAATATTCATTATGAATTGGAAACCAGTGGATAGCAACAAATTTACAGTGTTGTAGAAAAAGGAATGTGCCTTCCAGTTCCTTAATTGTTAGTAAACTTATCTAACTGACATTTAATTTAATTGAAAAAGATCAAACCCAAGTTTGCACTAGTATCTTTGTGTTATTTCATATTTCTTTTGTTGATTATGCTGGCAAGTAATACAGCTTAACCCATAGCATCCAAATAACAGAGGGTTCACATCATAGCTGACTTGGTTATGGCTCGGGGTCATGGTCCATTCATGTCATGGCCAATTTGGGCAAGGCTCTGGGTGACATATCATTCGGGTCATGTTACTATTATGCATGCAGTACATTTTATGCTATTCTTTATAAGGTACCCTCATACAACCTTGGCACATCCTTTGGGTCTTTGCCTGAGGAACAGCTGGATGTTTAATGCTCCAGTTGGCTTTTGTTAAGCATAAAGAACGATATTTAGCATATAAATGTATTGCATGCTAGTTCTGGACGATACCACACGCCCAAAAATTATGCCTTTATTTATTGCTGCTGTGAACCTGTAAGTAACCTTCACTCTGGGGATCAGTTTACTCATGTCAACCTCTCAGATTGTCGTATGGTGCACTGCCAGTCTGACAGTCATGAAGTGTTACATACAAAAGGAAAGTACTGATGTTATGGGAGTAGCAGCATTGTTTATAATTGCATACAATCTTACTTTATTAGAATAAGAATTTAAAAATTGATTTTTTAATTTTATTTTTTTATTTTTTAAAAATCCCACAAGAAGACTATATTAAATCTTGTACACAGAGAGTAACGCACCTAATTTATTGAAATTAACTATAATGTACATAACCAGGTGCTACAGGTTTAATCTAGCAACTAAAATGAATGTCATACATATGTGAATATACAAGAACATTAAAATAATGTTTTGCATACAAATGAGAGAAACAAATCATATTACTTTGTTGACGTGGCTTGTTGAGTGCCATGCACCAGCTGCATCTGAAATAGGCCCTAGTCAGCCATGCATGCTCACTGAAGTGGAGGCCAAGTGAACTCCAAATTCTCCCAAAGGCATTTTGTTAATGAGTAGGAAAATCTTAAGCATTAGATCTCTTCCATCTGTGTGGAAGTTGACATTTTCTCGAGCCTCATGTGGAGCATGGCATTTGTAGAATCATATTCTCTAAACAGGGCACGGCTGTCAAATTACGCACTTCACGAGGCCTTTTGGTGAAGCAGGAAGATGAAGGCCACAAAGAGGACCAGCTTGAGAGAGAGATAGAGATCTTGCTGCCGGAGGTCACTCCCTTCTCCTCAGTGGCTGTCCCTCTCATTGTCTTAGCTGTGCTTGGGCCCCAGAGAGATGCTGCAACTGTAGAACACACGGTTAGTTAGAAATGACCATCTGTACTTATTGGGTAGTTTTATTTCCTCTATGATCATCATCACTTTGTAACTTTGGTCTTCGAACTATGCTTTTCTTAACTGTTACTTATTAGCATAGACTTTGAGTTATGATAATATGCTGAAGAACTTTTGTTTTGGAAGTTACCAATACAAAGTGAGTGCAACTTTGAAATGTCTCACTTACCATAAGTTGTAAAACTGACATACTAAAATTGTTAGGATATTTTTTGTATTCAGCAGTTGGACAAGATTAATTTCTCTGTCATTCAACAGGTAAATATCAGCAGTGTCCTAATTGAACAGAGGCTTGACATTGATGTGCACTTCATCCCACCATTCATGTCTTCGCACAAGTTACACACGGCCAACACATCAAAGTTTGTTCAGGTTTGACCAAGCAGCTACTGTATTTGCCTATATGTATGTGTATGTACATGTGTGCAAGCTTTTGTGAATGGGTTTCTAGAGCCAAACCTTAAAATAATTTTTTATAGTTTGAATACTATTTGTCTTTCTTTTTTTTGTTATATGTAGTCATGATAAATGCAACAAATATTAAGGAAGTTCTTCATCAGTCATACCTCAAGTACCATTTTTTGGCTGAAGTGTTGTTAGATATTTTGGCAGCTTTAGTGGAAGAGTGTAAAATGTGTATGGATAATAAGATTGTTTATTCACAGGACTTTATTATTCAAATTGATTCACAGAAGCTTGAAACATAATGTAAAATTTCAATATCATTATACCTTTCGTATGTTGTGCTATGAATCCAAGAAATTTATAATGGTCTAGGATTGCCTTTACTACATAAGAAGTTGCAATCATTCACCAAAAAGTAGGACTTTCTGTGTCTTGAATAAAGATGTAATTCCTTTGGCATCCGTTGAACCCTCTGACAGGTGACAGTGACAGGACTAGTAAGCCGTGGAGTGGAGTTATCTGAGCCAAGAATAATGCTGGTAGAGCCGTTAAACCACGTTGAGCTGAAGCCCCTGCACCCTGCTTCTCAGTCCCTGGTAAATACTTCAATTGGAAGTGTGAAAGAATAAGATTCCTTGCTTGTGGTTCTTATTTTCCATTCTGTTTTTTCTCTTGATTAGGATTAATTTTTTTCTTTGTAAATGTAAATGTTCATGTGGAAGATGAGCTTTGATCATGCAAAATTTAACTTTGATTAGTCAGTTTTGCTGCTTGTCTCATCCTGAAGTCATGCCTGACAGTCTTTATTAAACTTACTTTTATGTTCTTACTTGATGAGTGTTCAGTGTGTGATATCATGCCCTAGGTTTCCAAATAAAAGAAATAATTGTATTTCAGGTTGTGTGCACGGAACAGTCGGCAAGCTACATGTGGGGGGTGGAAGTTAACTATGAGCAGGAAGGGACTCCTTCTCTCAAGCTGGAGTTCAAGACAAATTACCGCCCTCTGGATGACCAGGGGCAGCCGCTACAAGAGGAAGTTCGGTGCTATTCATGCCCCTTTGACCTGGTTGATTACAAGGTGAGGCAAGGAAGGACTCTTAGGCTGAAAGTATGTGCAAGGCCATAAGTATTCTTCAAAGAATATGAATGTAAATGAATAGTCATTGAGTGTAACTTGGGGGTGAGGAACTGATTGATCAAGACATAGTGAAGATGATGAAAGGAGGAATGTCATGGATTATTGAGGGAGTTGATAATTAATTGCAATAGGAGAATGACCAGTAAATGATATAGATCCCAATTGAATTATGCCATAGACTTTAGTCTATGGCATAGGTAGTATTGCATGCTACTTGTTTATGAATCAAAATTGTACCATTGAAATAGTGACTTCTTCCACACACAGAATATACATAATGTTTTTCTTTTTCTTTTCGTAGACTCTGTATACAATTCGTGCTCGGGTAGAACCTAGCAAGGGATCAGAGTTGTGTCGTGCAGGCAACATGTGCCACCTCCACATTGCGCTGCAGCAGGTCGCCTCACCGGCCTGTGCCACACCAGAAGATGGAGGGGACTTGGCCACACAGCAGCCAACAGCACATTCCATCATGTATGAGGTTCTTGCTGACCAGACCATGTGGGCCGTGTGTGGCAGAACTGCAGGTGAGTTGTCACTTGCATGTTATGCATTATTTATGTCAGTGTAAATGTTTATATATGAAAATATTTATATGTTTATATATGTATTTATTTATTTATGTGTTTATATATTTATTCACATGTTTAGAGATAAAAGACCTGATGACTGTGTAATGTGTGTCTTGAGAGATTAGAGCCATCTTTGCGTGAATGTCCACAGGTGTGCTGACATTGGAGGGCGGACTGAGGCAGAGTGTCACCTTGGACGTCATGCCTTTAACTGGTGGTTTTCTGCCATTACCATCAGTGCGACTTTCTAAGTATATTCCAGCTGATACCAAGCATGCTCCTAGAGGTAGGTTGATAAGATATCTGTAACAATGTTATTAATGTTTAGGTTTTGATCTGTTTTAGCATCAGAAGTTGATTTATGGAAGTGCTGCAGAGCTCAGGCATTTTTAGGAAGTATTGGTGATTTTTATATTTTTTTGAGCATTATGCAGTCAACAGACAAATGCATTTTGTACACCATACACCTAACAGTCTGCAAGTTGAATGCCTAAATAATGATAAAATGATCAACTCAAGGGTTTATCTCCTAATGCTGGCCATGAAAGCCTTATTTTCAATAGACATTTTGTAAATTTTGTGAGCATTTTTTTTTTTTATTATTATAATGTTTTGTTAAAAAAAAACAGCATTTTTTTTGTCCCCTGGAATATTGCCTAGCAGATTCAATTCCCCCATGCAGTACTGTCTCAGATCTGAACAATCATGGACTTTCTAAAACATTCAGAATGAGTAAATAATATCCTAAAGTGTTCAATACTTGTAGGGAATATGATGAAGCCATAACCTTTTTTTATACATTTCTTGGATTCCAGTGGATTAGAGAATAATTCTTGTGTACAGTCATTATGACCACCAGTTTTACTTTGACACCGGGTGCCATGAGAGGTTGATAGTTTGCTCACCAAGACAAGAATATGCCTGTTGAGCTTACAGCAACGAAAATATATTATGATAATTTGAATATAGAATTCAAAATGTGTCAACTTTAAATGTACTCATGATGTTATTCAAGTATAAGTTAATCTATTTAAAATAGGGTGACTAATGCAAATGACAGGCTTGCTCTGCTTAAGTAGCCCTTTGTTAGAATTCACAGTGCAAGAAGTATTGTGATTTCAGTTGATGTTTGAGGCCCATCTACATTCCAGCAGGTTTTATATACAAAAGTGTAAGAAAAAGATATTGGCCAACTTTGGAATGCTGTGCCTCAAAGATGCATAGTGCATGGCACTCTTGTATTATTTAGTTCATCCTGATAAATGTAGCATAAACCACAAACTGTCAACCCCTTTTGACACCTGTTATCAGGTCCAAAACTTGGCTATGTATGTTTTAACCCCAGTACAGATTGGATTAATGATACACTGAATGTTGGAATAATATTTATGGATGCTGAGCAGATAATGACATTGGAATTGTACCATTCCCTGGCACACTGACAAAGAAAAAACTGTAGTTTTGCTGCCTCAGATAGTATTAGTAGCACTAAACTTGCATTGAAATAACAGTGAAATCACTTGCTGCAATTGATCATACTCTTTGGAAACCTATTTGAAAGATGTTATTTGTGTGCCACATGTTTTTTATTCCTCTCTCTCTCTGAAAATGCTTAGCGTAAAGCAAACAAACATGTATATGGTACTGGTAGGTAAACCCAACTAAAGAAAGATGTGTGCATAAATTATATTTATGTACACTTTTATTTATTATTAAAGTACTAAATCTATAGATCAATATGAAAACAATTAATTTAAGCCTTCAGATTCCATAATCTAACTTGTAAGGCATTTCTGCCCTTGCGCTATCT